GCACAGGAAATCAGGAGTCCACGGTGCAGTTCAAATGAATATATAGGTTTGTAGGTTTCAGAAATCCTTCACAGTAGTGGTGTCCAAAATGTCTGTCTGCCTTACTCAGAGTTTATTTGGCTTTTATACAGTTTTAACAAGCAAAGCAAAAGCAGGGTAGCAACAGCATCTTATTAGTACATTCTCTCTTATTTCCCTTGTCAATCTTGCAGACCATCCCAGCCAAGGTAGAAGGTCCACATAACTCCCTGGTACAGCCTATCTCTAATAAACAGTTGAGGTAATCGGTCACTGAGCTCATGGCCGTCTAATGCACATGTCTGTACGTAACCTTTCAGAGGAAAGGTTTCACATCTGCTTCTACTAATTAGGTGAGCTCATAGGTATTTTCAAGGTAACCAGCTACTGAGATCATGGCATTTTACTGCACATGACTTTACATAATGTTTCCTCTATTCCTACATCGATTTTTTGATAACTTAAGCTCTGTACAAGAATCATAATTGCTAATGCTCAAAGCAAATAGGTGGTAGACAAGAGTCAATGGAATTCAAGGTGGGCTGGACTATAATCTCTTGTGTGCATGAAGAGATTCAAGACTGATGATGCATTTGACCCCTCCATCCCTCAGGCTCAGCCTAGTCATCTCCTACACATGATCTTCTTTCTTACTTTTACTTTCTCAGCATTGGAGGCTTTTCCAAAGAGCTAAAATCCTCACATAATGTATCCAAAATATATTTTAAAACCGCACCTCTAAAGGCATTCCACTCTACTGTTTAGAAAAATAGTATATATTCAATGCACCAATCAAAGGATGGATCTTGTTCCCTTGGTACTTTAGAAAGCTTGTTTAACACCTAATCAGAAAGGACAAGTTGCGGCCATTGGATTTGTGTCCCTTCATCCACCTATTTGAGCAATTCCAGCTTGTTTCCACTTTTATGAGCATGCAGATCTACAGTTACTTCCTGTCTCCCAAGTGCAGCAGTCTGGCCTTTTTGAATAGCTACTTGATTTCCGTAGAGAGAGTTCAAAGGGTTATGGCATTGTTCTTTTTTTTCCTTTGATTTTCAGAAGGATACAGTTTAATCTTTGTCTGTGCAATAAGTGACACTTTAGATCAGGTTTCAGACTGAACTGAAGTCTCTTCTATGTGTGTCATGAATAGCATTGAGGACACCAGAATGAGACAACTTGCCATGGTCAACCCACCATGGGACAAGTCACCATGGCCAACTCATGATGGGTCAACTCGCCATGGGATAATTTAACAATTCAATTATTTAAAATAAATAAAATAATTTAATTTTTATCATTCACATTTCATTCTGTCCCTTCTTTTGCATCCTTTCTTTAATGATTCCATTCCACCATTTCTTTGATAATTAGTGTAGCTCTTGTTCCGCAACAAGTTGTTTGCTATAGCAAGTTGTCTCACAGTGAGTTGGCCACGGCAAGTTGACCATGGCGAGTTGGCTGTGGCACTTTGACTGCAGCAAATTGTCATAGACTCCTGAAACACAGCTTCTGAAGGAAAGCTGCACAAGTCATAGTTGTGTGCGAAGAATAAGCTGTTAAAAGCAAAGCCTTTGTTTGGGTGCTCCTCTGGTGATCATACAGATGGATCTTCTCCAGGACAATCTGTTCTGGACCTGGTCCTTCAAGTCTTCCAAAGATGTGCCTATCAACTTCTGTAATGGCGTCCATCAATCTTGTTGCTGGTCATCATTTTCCCTTACTTTCCATCTCTCCTAGATGGACTTCTCAAGAAAGTTAGATGTTCGCATAATATGTCCAAAGATTATATTTGGAGCTCAGCCATTGGTGTACAGGAAATCCCTCCCCCATTGTTCTAAGAATCCTGCATGTATGCGTTTATGAATCCACAAGTCAAATTCAACTCAAAGGATCTTCATTGTGTTAGGTGTTTGGACAAGAATTAGAATTAAGACTATGGCTGAAGAGCCGAGGTGGCGCACAGGTTAGGGTGCAGTACTGCAACCACTTCAGCTGACTGCTAGTTCTGCAGTTTGGTGGTTCAAATCTCACCGGCTCAGGGCTGACTCAGCCTTCCATCCTTCCGAGGTGGGTAAAATGAGGACCCAGATT